GGCCATCTATTTAGACATTAGAAAATCGCAAATTGATAATTTTCACAAAAATAGTCATTTTTTCCTGTTTACTTGCTTTCATTGTCTTTTTCCAACTGTCTGTTGGCTATGATTTTTCATAGCGGACTTTTTTTAAGACATTGATAGACAAATTTTTGTAAATGTAGTTTTTTATTTATCCTATTTATCCACAAATATTTGACTCAGCAACTTTTCTCTGACTTCCTGTCTGTCAGTTTTTCATGCTATGTTTCTGTTTTTATCGCAAGTGGTGCTATGCAAAAAGGCTTGAAACCAAAATAAACGTTCGATATTTGGATCTTGGAAATCTAGCCGACGACTATAAGATAGTGCCCCACGACCTTATAAACATAATGAAAAAAAAAAAACTTTGGCCAAACCTAAAAACAGACAAAAGACCGACCACAGGTACGCAGTACAATACAATACAATAATTTCTAAATTGAAAAACAACTGAGCTGGAAAAGTTTAGGAGGTTATTGATAAACTGGATGCAGAATATGGTTTTTAACTCCTACAAAAAAGCTTTAGCGTACAATTTTTTTTTCAAATTGATTAAGTGGAAAGATACAATTGCTTTTTAGAAAAAATTGAATTAAAAAAACATATTTGAAAATGAATGATAGCCATTTTTGCAATCAGATCTCCCGGCAGCCAAAGGTGGCATGGGTCTTTTCTCAGCTCACCTATTAGCGTTACGCGCTTTTTTGGCCTCAGCAGAAGGAGCGAAAAATAGCTCAGGTGAAAATTTTGACTTGAAACACGAGGATGTAACATATAAAGGCGCAATAAAACTTTGGTTTGATGCAGCAAAAAGGGAATTAGCTCCGAAAAACTGAAAACAAAAATTTGATAAGCCCCTCATTGATAAGGAAAATTCTCAAATGATTTTGAAACTAAATTCTACTGATTTAAATATATTGGGTGCTCATCAACATATGTTGGTATTGAAATGGTTGAATGTCATACCGTGTAAAAGTCTCAGAATAAAATTGTCAAATATACAGCTCAGAACTGCAATTGGACTCCGCCTAGATTCAAAAATTGGTGAAAAACATATATACGTTTGCGGAAATTATGTAACCGAAGAAGAAATACATGACCGATCTTGTCTAAAAAGTGCAGAGAGATTCTCTTGGCATTCAAACTTGAATGCCTTTATGAATCAAAATTTCGCCTCAACTGAAAATCCTTTCCTGTTAGAGTCACGACACCTTCACGGAAAAGATTAGACGCGACCAGACGGTTTGAGGTTCATCCCGTGGACTGTTGGTAGGCGGCTCGTAAGAGATGTAAAGATAGTTGTCTCCATAGGCTCTACTAGCATAAGCTCAGGCTCGGTTGTCCATCAAAAAAAGAGATTTCATTGAGGATGAAAGTAGTTTTCAACCAATAGTTTTTAAAGTTCAGGATGTCACCGGCTCTAGCACTGAGGTTTTCCATAAAATTTCTGTGACAACTTGAGCACGTGTACCGAGGAACTCGGGGCAGGTAATTTTGTTAAGCAGAAAAATTCCCTCGCAAAACAGGTTCCGAACGCTGCCTGTCTACTTGGCAAAATTAACGATAAAACAAATTTCGGAGATTTTTTTTAATTTTTAGATCCAAGGGGAGAAAGTGCAGCTCAGTATAAGTATCTGATGGACCTATAGATTCATAGCAGTTCAATCTTCTTGAGTTTCTCTCAATTAGGGTTTATTCTGTGCCGATGTTAGCTTTCTCAATCTGGTTGACTTGAATTCCAGCCATCTGACTCTTTTCTTATATCCACGTTTTACTTTTAAAATAGGATACAAACTTTAAAGTTTTCATTGAAGAAGTAAAAGAAGTATGGAGGTTGCAGTGGACTTTTTCAGCATCCAGATGGACGTTTTAAACGCAAAAAACATTGAGGGATCTAAAAGAACTTTATTTTCAGTTGAAATCAGCAGCAAAAACCTAGAAAAACCGAGAAAGATACAGGAATAAATTTAAAAAACAGTTAAGCAGGGTGGGTGTTAAGTATGGCAACGTCAAGCTTGGTCTCCAAGTTTTTATTACCGTAGGAATTCAACGGTTATAACGACTTCGAAAGCTACCTAACAAACATCGAGTTATCAAAAGAACTACAAAACTAGAAACGACCTGTAAGTGGAACCGAAAGGGATGAACAGCAGTATTACTTCGCGTTAAGACTGCAAAAATCAGCAAATGAATTTTAACGCACCTTTCCAGACGTTAATAGAAATAGTAATGATCAGAACGCTATGAGCAGTGGTCTTCCGAGGACGGCTATTGCGTCGCGTGCAGCAGGCAGGTGAAAAATTGACCAGTTTACTGGGCGATTTGCAGCAATTGACGTTGAAATTGTACCAAGAGGATTCCCAAGACATTCGGAATCACTTAGTGCTTCGAGCGAGATGGTCTCAAAGGGATCGACAAAACTCAAATTAATTTTAAGCTACGCAAGACAATTTGGGACAAGGACATGAACATCGCAGATGCTTTAGAGCGTGTATTTCACCTGGAATTTGTCATTAGAATTGAGGCAGAAGAACAAACGCCGCGAAGAGCAGCCATATGGAGGTGTAAGAAAGACATACTAGGAGACTCTGTAAAAAGATGTGTGAAAATAATACTCGGAGCAGTGATGGTCAAAGAGGATGGGAGAAAAACGCGACAGGAAGGGAACCGATATTGGGGAAAAGATTCAAGAGATCGTGCAAGAACTCCCACCCCTGGACCAAATACGCGCAAAAAAATGACACCTCTAGAAGTAAAAATGACTGAAGCAACGTTTTTGATCAAAATTTAGCAAAAAGATCTAAGTATGAGTGTATGATAATCAAGAAAGATAGTTTCACCATTGTATCTTATTTACGGTGGTGATTTGCAAGCGTTATCAAATCAGTACATTAGCAATTTGTCTAGCAGAGTCACTGAATTTGTGACATTCGACCAGAATGTATCGAAAAGCAGTTCTAATTCGAATTTTTATTATAGCAGCTGAGCGAGAAAATTGGCTGTTTTAGCACATTAACGGTGTTAGTCGATCAATTTGACGAATTGGGAATGGTCAATTCGGTGTGACATGTTAATTTATAAAATTTCGTTGTAAAAGAAAGACACGTTGCGACGTCGACAATTCGCGACAATTGAAAACTGAAAAAACACAGAACAACAATATTCTGAGATACAGAAGAGTCGGACAAAAAACAACGACAAACTGAGAAAAGATAATAATTTACGTTCATTCCGAGTTGTAACGATTGTGCCGCTACAATCGTTAAAAAGCAATTCTCGAGAACCAGGAAGCATGTTGGGACGACGTGTCCAGCCTTCCGGTAAGAGACAAGACAGCTCTTCGTCCGAATTCAAACATCCGGAAGGGTCTCGGGAGAGAACTTAAACGTTATTTTAACAAAATTTTAGCTTCCCGGAATGTCTTGAGTTGAATTTAACTAATAGTAAATTCTTTTTCAGAATATGAGAAGCTAGGAGTTGAGGGAAAGGGTTGATACATCTTCGATTGAGATGATGATTTTTATCTACTGAGCAAAAACAATAGTAATATAATAAGTAGTACTAGCCCTGTTTTTAGGAGTGACCTCATGGTCTGGGGATACTGAGACCCAGCCATGAGCTCACTATTTTGCATGTAATTAAGTTAATTTGAGCGTTCTGGTCGAAGCCGGAGAACAGTAACGTTTTTGTCGACCCGATGTTGAAAAGGCCACCAAAAGAACTGGCTTTGGTAGAGACGGTGAAAAGCATGTAGAGCTTTGTTTAGACGCCGGCCAGTCGTTTTATAGCTTAGCTTCACTTTCGGTCGATATGTACTTCCGCGCGAATGTTACATAGATATTTTTATGGCGCTCCTGGGTGTTATTCTTTCTTAACATCATGACCGGCAGAACCGTTAACGAGCACTTCAAAACAAGGCCCTAACTACCGGGGCGGAAGGGTAGCTCGGAACGCGGAAGCCTTCCGGATTCCCGTGAATAACTTTTTACTGTACTAATACCGATTAATAAAAAGATCGATAGGCCATGCTTTCGCAGTCTGTAATCATACTGAAAATCTAGTTCAAGCTATCATTTTCCCTTTTGCTCCACGTCAGGATTCTGTCCCCACTGAGTTAGTTTTAGGACACCTGCGTTATCTTTTTACAGATGTACCGCCCCAGTCAGGGAATGATGATTTTTATCTACTGAACAAAAACAATAGAAATATAATAAATAAGTAGTAGCCCTGTTTTTAGGAGTGACCTCGTGTTCTGGGGATACTGAGACCCAGCCATGAGCTCACTATTTTTGCATGTAATTTAGTTAATCTTAGCGTTCTGGCCGAAGCCGGAAACACTAACGTTTTTGTCGACCCGATGTTAAAAAGGACCACACAAATAACTGGCTTTGGCAGAGACGGTGAAAAGCATGTTGAGCTGTGTTTAGACGCTAGCCAGTCGTTTCATAACCTAGCTTTATTTTCCGTCGATATGTACTTCCGGGCGAATGTTAAAATTTCTCAATTCTGAACCTTTGTCAACCAACCGAATTATTCTGAGCTGTTTGCATTTTATTTAAATGTTCTATTGTTTAATTTTTGAAATGTTGGTTGTTAAATACCAACTCCGATTTGTTATAATAAAAGTTGTTCGTGTAGATTTTTTTTTGTATTCATTCATTCAAAGTTTTTGCCTTAATTATATACAATCAAAGGGAAGGAGACCCGCAGCAAAACAAGAATGTTTGAACCAGGGCAGGGTCGGATGTTTTTTTATGAACTTCTTGGTATTCTAGTAAGAATTGTCCGTTCATTAAATTGAGGCATGTTAGTTGGTAAATTTCTTTTTTCAAATTGACTGGTGCTGCTAATGCGTCATAATTGGCTTGCGTCACTTAAGAAATTTTGTAGAATCAAAGAATTACTCGTTCAAATTTTTCCAAAAGTATTTTCGGTCATATTCTTGCTTCTGTGACCGAAGATAAATTGCTGTGATAAACTTATTAAATAGTTTCATGTGATATGATACGCTCATAATGGTACGCTTGTAAGAAGAAGGCCCGGTACGGGATTTTAGAGACAAGCTCGTCAAGCCGCGATACACCCCCTCTACCCGGACATACCCGCCGGAACCTCCACCCGTGAAAAACCAGGTTGTTATCGCTTTCAGTTCTTTTTTATTTTTGTTTTTTAAAGCTATTTCTCTACAATCGATTTAACAATCTATTCTTTCTCTTGTTTTGTCTGTTTTGTACCCTGTTTAGTGAATGTCCTTGCCGAAGTACAGGCCGAAGTGGCTACCCAACGTCGCAAGATAAGCAGCAATGATTCTACCACATCTGCTGCTCCCCAGAACTAAATCAGAAACAAACGCATCAAACTCCAAAACACTGAACCGCCGCATAATTTTATGGAAGCAAGGCCTATCATACGAACTTTTCACAAAAGCGAAAGCTCTCCAAATTAGACATCCAAAACAGAAGAAGTCCGAAGTAAACGAGCACCTGAGTGTTTTTTTGGTCTGCTAAATAGACCAGACCTCTGATTACGTCACCAGTGTCTAGATGAAGTTAAGTATGAACACAACTTAGAGTAATCTACGAGTGCAATTCAATCGAAAAGCAGTCCAGTTCGAAAGGCAGAATTATCGCCTTTTTAGTGTGTTTTCAAGCGCACGGCAGTTAGATCAGTTGCGGATATAGGGTGAATGGGAGAAGGGCGGTGTCCCTCTCAGGAACTCGACACCCTCAACAACCAAAGGGCTATTTTACAAGACTTATTTTCACCCGCCAAACCTAAAGCTGTTCTAGAGACGCCTTTAGCGCCAATATTTACAAACGTTTTTAGGGAAAGCACGCCGTTATATTGCTATTTCCGGTCAAAATTTTCCAGAGAGTACCAACCTACAAACAGGACTTTTGGGATTTTGTGTAAATTTTGACTGCAGCGCAGAAAATTTTGGCTAACTAGAAGGTTTTTCACTGTTCCAAGGAAGCACCGGAAAATCACCCCCTTGAAAAACTCCTCCATAAACACAACGCCTTGACTAAGATGCCAATCAATCTCAAGAAATCACAAAAGAGTTGGTTTCGACAAAACATATTACTCTTGCATGAGGTGTACAAATTAGGCTCTTTGATCAATCTGCTACAAAACTAGCTCCATAGCGCAATGCTACTAAACTATTTGATGCCTTTTTGGGTTTGATTGATGGGGCATTGATTGGTCCTCATCTCCTGTGGATGGGGATAGAAACCTAGTCTCCTTTAACTCCAATCCAATTTTCATACCCACTCAATCTCGTACACTTGAATCGGAGAATTCAGCTCGCAAATCCGAATCTTCCTGTAGTCGATCCCCTATTAATCTATATTTGTAACGAGTTTCAAATGCGGTCATTTGGGGGCGTATCGGTGAAATTAAAGTTTACATTTGACTTTCATCGAGAAAAATTTTTGCAATAATCATTTATCAAAATCTGATAATAACAAGATGTTTACACCGCTTGATATTTATGATTGCGTGATATGATTGATCTGTTTGAGCTAATTGATTAATACCGATCATAAAAGCAAAATTGTCACCGGTTGTAGCATGGACGAAGAAAAACCTTCTGGGGGTTTACAAATTGACTAATTTGTGCACTCCAATTATTCAAATTCGGGCTTACGTGTATTATCACCAAGGTAGCAACTTGCCGTTACTTTGCTGCATCAAAAAAACCTTTCATCGCAATTTCCCTATGTGCCCATCTGAAGAGACAATCCTCTAATAATCGCACCTAATACCAAACCTTCTAACGCTTCAAAGCAACACTTTTTATCTTCCATTTATACAGCTGATTTGTTGAAACCGAAATTTGAGATAAATGTTTGATGTAAATCTAGGTATGATTGTCCAAAACTAAAAACTATGACTAGATAAAGGAGCAAAAATATGCGAAGTGAACCAGAACTCAAACCTCCCTCCCCTCCCCTTTCCACTTCTTCCCTCCCCTAGAAGACCGCATTTGAAATGAACTTTAATAAATAACTGGTCCCACCAGGTGGGCTGTGACAGATTTCGTCCCATGACAGATCTCGTTCCATTTTAATTTCATCAGATTTCGTCCTATTTCAAAGCGTAAACAGATTTCGTCCCGCAAATTTGGATATGGGATGATTTGATGTTGGATATGGGACGAAATCTGTATGGGTCGAAATCTGTTAATTAAATAAAAAGGACGAAATCTGTAGTACGAACGAAATCTGTGCCAATCACCAGGTGATGATGAAAACGTGCAACCATACATCGTCTCTTGAATTGACGGATGAGGCCACCAAAGTGACCCAGTGTGGAGTGTTTGGAACTTTTGGGAAGAGTCGAGACTGCGAAAGTCAAACGAGCTTTCCCCAATCGAGTATATTGAATCCTCAATATATTGTTGGTGTTTTCACATCTTTTACCTTGTTGGAAACATGAAGAATTTTGCAAAAAGATCTCAGATTAGGGCCATCTATTTAGACATTAGAAAATCGCAATTTGATAATTTTTACAAAAATAGTCTTTTTTTCCTGTTTACTTGCTTTCATTGTCTTTTTCCAACTGTCTGTTGGCTATGATTTTTCATAGCGGACTTTTTTTAAGACATTGATAGACAAATTTTTGTAAATGTAGTTTTTTATTTATCCTATTTATCCACAAATATTTGACTCAGCAACTTTTCTCTGACTTCCTGTCTGTCAGTTTTTCATGCTATGTTTCTGTTTTTATCGCAAGTGGTGCTATGCAAAAAGGCTTGAAACCAAAATAAACGTTCGATATTTGGATCTTGGAAATCTAGCCGACGACTATAAGATAGTGCCCCACGACCTTATAAACATAATGAAAAAAAAAACTTTGGCCAAACCTAAAAACAGACAAAAGACCGACCACAGGTACGCAGTACAATACAAAACAATAATTTCTAAATTGAAAAACAACTGACCTGGAAAAGCTTAGGAAGTTATTGATAAACTGGATGCAGAATATGGTTTTTAACTCCTACAAAAAAGCTTTAGCGTACAATTTTTTTTGCAAATTGATTAAGTGGAAAGATACAATCGCTTTTTAGAAAAAATTGAATTAAAAAAACATATTTGAAAATGAATGATAGCCATTTTTGCAATCAGATCCTCCCGGCAGCCAAAGGTGGCATGGGTCTTTTCTCAGCTCACCATTTAGCGTTACGCGCTTTTTTGGCCTCAGCAGAAGGAGCCAAAAATAGCTCAGGTGAAAATTTTGACTTGAAACACGAGGATGTAACATATAAAGGCGCAATAAAACTTTGGTTTGATGCAGCAAAAAGGGAATTAGCTCCGAAAAACTGAAAAAAAATTTTGATAAGCCCCTCATTGATAAGGAAAATTCTCAAATAATTTTGAAACTAAATTCTACTGATTTAAATATATTGGGTGCTCATCAACATATGTTGGTATTGAAATGGTTGAATGTCATACCGTGTAAAAGTCTCAGAATAAAATTGTCAAATATACAGCTCAGAACTGCAATTGGACTCCGCCTAGATTCAAAAATTGGTGAAAAACATAGATACGTTTGCGGAAATTATGTAACCGAAGAAGAAATACATGACCGATCTTGTCTAAAAAGTGCAGAGAGATTCTCTTGGCATTCAAACTTGAATGCCTTTATGAATCAAAATTTCGCCTCAACTGACAATCCTTTCCTGTTAGAGTCACGACACCTTCACAGAAAAGGTGAGACGCGACCAGACGGTTTGAGGATCACCCCGTGGACTGTTGGTAAGCGGCTCGTAAGAGATGTAAAGATAGTTGTCTCCATAGGCTCTACTAGCATAAGCGCAGGCTCGGTTGTCCATCAAAAAAAGAGATTTCATTAAGGATGAAAGTAGTTTTCAACCAATAGTTTTTAAAGTTCAGGATGTCACCGGCTCTAGCACTGAGGTTTTCCATAAAATTTCTGTGAGAACTTGAGCACGTGTACCGAGGAACTCGGGGCAGGTAATTTTGTTAAGCAAAAAAATTCCCTCGCAAAACAGGTTCCGAACGCTGCCTGTCTACTTGGCAAAATTAACGAAAAAACAAATTTCGGAGATTTTTTTGATTTTTAGATCCAAGGGGAGAAAGTGCAGCTCAGTATAAGTATCTGATGGACTAAGATGCCAATCAAGCTCACAAATCCGAATCTTCCTGTAGTCGATCCCCTATTAATCTATATTTGTAACGAGTTTCAAATGCGGTCATTTGGGGGCGTATCGGTGAAATTAAAGTTTACATTTGACTTTCTAAAAATTCCCTCGCAAAACAGGTTCCGAACGCTGCCTGTCTACTTGGAAAAATTAACGATAAAACAAATTTCGGAGATTTTTTTAATTTTTAGATCCAAGGGGAGAAAGTGCAGCTCAGTATAAGTATCTGATGGACTAAGATGCCAATCAATCTCAAGAAATCACAAAAGAGTTGGTTTCGACAAAACATATTACTCTTGCATGAGGTGTACAAATTAGGCTCTTTGATCAATCTGCTACAAAACTAGCTCCATAGCGCAATGCTACTAAACTATTTGATGCCTTTTTGGGTTTATTGATGGGGCATTGACTGGTCCTCATCTCCTGCGGATGGGGATAGAAAGCTAGTCTTCTTTAGCCCCAATCCAATTTTCATACCCACTCAATCTCGTACACTTGATCCGGAGAATTCAGCTCACAAATCCGAATCTTCCTGTAGTCGATCCCCTATTAATATATATTTGTAACGAGTTTCAAATGCGGTCATTTGGGGGCGTATCGGTGAAATTAAAGTTTACATTTGACTTTCATCGAGAAAAATTTTTGCAATAATCATTTATCAAAATCTGATAACAACAAGATGTTTACACCGCTTGATATTTATGATTGCGTGATATGATTGATCTATTTGAGCTAATTGATTAATACCGATCATAAAAGCAAAATTGTCACCGGTTGTAGCATGGACGAAGAAAAACCTTCTGGGGGTTTACAAATTGACT